TTTTTCATTTGGGATGGGTAATGTAAGTGTGCAAATTGAAACACTTAAGTGGGAAATTTGTCCACATCCCCAACCCCTATTCAGTTTGTCTATGTCTACACAGTTCTGAATCTTTCTCTCTGGTGCTCTCTTTGTTAAATATATCTATTTTTCATAGTATATTTGTAGACTTCTTGCAAACATTTTGCCTCTTTTTCTTTAATAAACATCAAATTTTCCCTCTCTCTCACTTTCTCTCTCCCCACATATATATATATATATTATATATTATATATATATATATGTGTGTGTGTATGTGTAGTACTATGTTGTTATCCCTAATATATACTGTCTTTATCATATGGTAATGATAATATTAGCTGTTTCCCTACAAGAAAACATTTAGGTTTCATTGACCAAGCAGCCAGTACTGTTTCAGTTGAAATTTATAAAAGATTTCCTTTAAAACACTTTTTAAGAAAACAAGTTTCTCAAGTCCAGTAGCTTTTATCACTCTTTCCAGTATTAAAATGGAATTCTTCTTGTTATTCAAGAGTTAATGTCAAATATGAGTTTTATAAAACAACAATCTCAATGAATAAGCAGACATAAGTTTCGTTTGCACTAGAATCAAAAAATTATAAAATAAATAAAAATTTCCCTTTAAAAAAAAATTAATTTTATCAGTTTTTACCCATTTGGCATGTATGTTCATGACATTTTTTGCCTACCATTTAAGGTTCAAAAACCTTTAAAAACCAAGAAAGAGAAAAGAGTTTCTTTTTTTTTTCACTCATTTTTCTCACCTTTCTTTCTGATCAATCACATCAATTTCCACCAATGATTAATGGTTGTTATAAAACAAAGGATTTGAAAAGGCAATTTTCCATCTCTTATCAGATGACCTTCTGCAACGAAAATGATTGGACAATTCACATCACCAAAATTGCTAGGCCTCAAACACTCAACCTTCACATTATCTGAAACACACTGGATACATTTTTTTCTCTCATTAAATATCAGCTGTGCCAATAAACTGTCTTGATTTTTGGTTGACCCTGTCAAGGTTGACAGTAGAGGTAATAAATTTCAGTCTCTACTGCTTCTTCTTTAATATACCATGTTTCTTTATGATGTTTGGGATCATGGCTCTCCACATCTCCCTATCTTTTGTAGTTCTTAGCAAAGTTTGTTTCCTTACCATCAATCCTAGTCCATGTTCTGCCATCCATTTACACAAGCTCATTGTTTCCCATTGCCCCTCTTTCCTTCAATATTTCCTGAGAGTATCAAATTCCTCAAACCCTCTATCCTCAGTATGGGTCCTAGGAATTGTAACTGTCTCTTTTTGATTCTAAGCATGTATCCTTTTTGTTTCCATTTTCTTTTAAATTTTTTCATTGCTCAAAGTATATTCTCAGTATCCTTCTTTAGAACGACATCTCTGTTGCGTCAAGTCTCCTCTTGAATCTTGGAGAGAGTTGTCCAGCATTCACTGCTATATAAGAGGATTGATATATAGTAGTTCATCACTCTTTTCTAATTAAATTTTCCTGTTTCTTAATACTTTGCTTAGCTTTTGTAAGGACACTTTTGCTATTCCAATGCACCTTCAGATTTCAGTATCACATTTTCCATCATCTGTTTAAACATTTTGCAGATATTTAAATTTCTGTTCATCCTGCTTCATTTTGACATATCCAATTTGTAGCTCAAAAATTTTCTGATATTTACTTTTCCATAAACCAAGTGAATACTTAGAGAATAGAATCAAATATAAACATATATCCTCAAACTAATTTATGGACTTAATTATAAACCAGCAATATTTACATATTCCCAGACCGAGTTAATGCTTATAGACTCAAATATAATTGCCCAATATTTACTTTTCCCTTAACCAAGTAAATACTTACAGAATCAAATATAAACAACTAATATTTACCAGTTCATGAATCAAGTGCTGACAGACTCAAATATCAATAATCAATATTTACCTATAACCAAAGCAAAAAAATTCTTTAGACTGAAATAGATTAGTAATTAAAATAATTAAAAAATAGATTGATTTCAGTGTTAAATAACCAAATAGAGGTTGAGATGTCACAAGTTCAACTAATCCATCCTTACCTTCTTATTTTGAACTGTCAATCACAGAAACTATTTTGCTTAAATAAAATGCAAGAGTAATGGCAGTATTTAAGAGGGAATTAGTCTCAAGATTATATTTATCATTTTTTTTTTTTTTTTGGATAGTGGGTGGTTTATTTAAACATGTTTTGTTGAATATTACAAGCAAGGGAAATTTGATGATTTTTTTTTTTTAATTTAATTTAGTTTTTCCAACATTCTTACATTTTTTCATTTTGTGGGACTAAGGGAGCACAAAAATTGTCCATTGACCCAAGCAATATATATATTATAAATTAATTGATTTAAAATATGTTTTTTTTTCACTACACAGTTCTAACCATGTTTCAAAAATGGAATCTAAAAGCTTCAAATTTAATTTTGTAATTAAATTAAAGACATTAGTTCCATTTCATCCTCAAGTGAATTTTGGAGTAACTTCAATTAATTTATAATATTAATGCTCTGTAAATTTACATTGAGCACTATTTTGTAAAAATAAAAATATCTATAAGAACACCGGATTATATATCTTACTGTTCTTTCTTTTTATTTATGTATACATATATATATATATATATATATATGTGTGTGTGTGTGTGTATACGTACATACATACATACATATATATATATATATATATATATATATATATATATATATATATATGTGTGTGTGTGTGTATACATACATATATATATATATATATATATATATATATATGAAAAATTTCTAAGTTAATCTGTAGAAAAAGACAATATTTATAAATGTAAAAGACAATAGGAAAACTATAATGTTAGCTGACACATTTTGTCCAATGTGGAATTTCAAGGCAAAAACGAAATGTATTTATTAAAACAAAGTAACTAATAATAACAAAACAAAATGTCCTTAGCAACTGGAAGAATTTAGAGAACACTATTTTCATACTGTTAACTGAAAAGTAATTGATAGTAATTAACATAATTTTCAGTTAACACTATGAAAATAGCGTTCTCTAAATTCTTCCAGTTGGCGATATTTTGTTTTGTTATTATTAGTTACTTTGTTTTAATAAATACATTTCGTTTTTGCCTTTGAAAAGTTCACATTGGACGAAACGCATTGGCTACCATTGCAGTTTTCATATTGTCTTTACATATATATATATATATATATATATATATATATATATATATATAATTTATAAATGTTAGAATGTAATAAAGTAAATATCAGTAAAGATTGAAAGTGCTAAAAATTATCAATTATAAAAAGTAATATTGTTCTATTTCAAACTCTTTTTTTTCTTACATCTCTGATTCAAACTGAATTGCCTCCATTTCTTTTTCTTTGGTCTGTTATCTTTGGTTTGGGTTCATTGTTGAAGACGCTGTATGTCAATAAACAAAAAATTCAAGACTTAAAATGGCTGAGAAACTAAACAAGAGAATGAATAAAATGAAATTCAGTCAGGAACATTTTCAGTGTATAAGGATAGTTCCTGAAAGAAAGTGTAAATGTTCTTATGATAGTCCATGTAAAAAAAAAAAAAGAAATGTATGTAGTTGAACTTATTCAGTTTGTGAGTGAAAGAGGAAGATGTTTTGTCTAAGCCATGTGCATCTGTTCTTGGAGAAATAAGTTTTTCATCTTACTTCATTCTCAGAATGGTATGAAAGAAGGGTAGCCTCTTGTGATTCCCAAATGCTGAAAATGGATCAGTGCTGCTAATAGGGTTTTTAATGCCTGCACATCTGACAAAAATCATGTGTAGCATTTGCTACAATTTAAAGGGTTTATAGCTTTTAGTTAGATATCTCTGATAATACTTCTCAAATCTCAAACATTTTAAAAAGAAAAGCTAAAACTGTTTTTTTTCATTATATATTTTATTATCAACACATCATTATATTAAGAGTGTCTTAGATATTCACTCGATGGGAATTGATCTCACTACTAACACATCTGCAAGACTAACCAACTCAAGGTAATTTTTGATTCCACATTGTGCAGATAAAAACTAGTTTTATTGCTGAAAAGAGAATTATTAATGAACATTTATCAAAGTTGTTTTCTTTAAACACAAAACCATTAACATCTGTCTATATTTCTAAGATGAGGTATTTTAACTATTTACACTATTTGCATTGTTCAGACTGCTGTTATCATCCTTATTGTCATATTCACAACATATTATCCATCGTATATGCTGATTCTGGTCCTGAAATCTCAGCTTCAGTGCCTCCCCCGACCACCACCACACACACACCATAATGTAACTTCCCAGTGGATTTTCTATAAATGCTTTCATGGTAATTGTTCTGATGAACCTTCCTCTTTAGTACCCAGACTTTATGAATTCACACACAGTATTAGATTGGTGACAGTTGAAATGGCTAGATGTAACTATATATATTTATATTATATATATATATATATATATATATATATATATATATATATATATATATATATATATATATATATATATTTCTTCTATTACTTCTCTTTCTTGTGGAACTCTCTTCTGGCTTCTTGCTTCCCAGTCAACTTTGATCTTGAATAATTATAATGCTAATCATTATCTTCTGTCTTGTTAATTATTGTTCTTTTATTGTTTTCTCCTCATAATAATGTTTTTATATATAATTTCTAATAGTAACCCCTTGCATCTTAGTGGCTTTATTGTATTGCTTGGGGTGAATTGATTAAAAAAACCAACAAAGAACTTTATTTTAAACTTCTTTAACCTTTCCCTGGTGGAAAAGAATTGCAAAGATCTTTAACATTCTTTGAATTCTTAAAATCAAAACTGATAATGTCAAATGGTTAATGGTGACTGGTTAATGATATTGAATGGTTAACAACTATAACAACAATGCCACTGATTATTGTCTGTAAGATAGAAATCATAATGAAGAAAAAGAAAAGGAGATGAAATGTGAGAAAAGTGGAGTATAGAATGAAAAGTACAGAGAAGGAAAAAAAAGTGAAAAGATAGACAAAAAGGATATATAAAAGAAGGAGGAGGAGAAGAAGAAATAAAAAGTAAAAGACTGAAAAGAAATAGAAAAGAAAGAAAAATTAAAGACTGAAAAGAGAGACGAGGAAAGAGAGGGAAAGTGAAAAGAAGAAACAGAATAAAAGGAAGAAAGGTAAAAAAACTGAAAGAATTACAAAAACATAAAAAATGATATGGAAGCTGATAAACTGAAAATAAAGAGAAAGGAAGAAAGCAAACATTATAAATAGGGAGAAAGGAAAACAGAAAAGAGAGACTGAAAAGAAAAAGAAAGGAAGAAAGTGAACATTAAAATAAGGAAGAAAGGAAAAATAAGAAAAGAGAACAGAAAGAAAAAAAAGGAAGAAAGAAAGTGAACATTATAATAAGGGAGAAAGGAAAACAGAAAAGAGAGACTGAAAAGAAAAAGAAAGGAAGAAAGTGAACATTATAATAAGGGAGAAAGGAAAACAGAAAAGAGAGACTGAAAAGAAAAAGGAAGAAAGAAAGTGAACATTATAATAAGGGAGAAAGGAAAACAGAAAAGAGAGACTGAAAAGAAAAAGGAAGGAAGAAAGTGAACATTATAATAAGGGAAGAAAAAAAGAGGAAAAAAGAAAAGAGAGACTGAAAAGAAAAAAAGAAAACATTATAAGAAAAGGAAAACAGAAAAGAGAAAGAAAAGAAAAAAAAGGAAAACAGAAAAAGAGAGACTGAAAAGAAAAGAAAGAAAAAAGTGAACATTATAATAAGGGAAAAAGGAAAACAGAAAAGAGAGAAAAGAGAGACTGAAAAGAAAAAGGAAGGAAGAAAGTGAACATTATAATAAGGGAGAAAGGAAAACAGAAAAGAGAGACTGAAAAGAAAAAGGAAGGAAGAAAGTGAACATTATAATAAGGGAGAAAGGAAAACAGAAAAGAGAGACTGAAAAATAAAAAGGAAGAAAGAAAGTGAACATTATAATAAGGAAAGAAAAGGAAAAAAAGAAAAGAAAAGAGAGACTGAAAAGAAAAAAACAGAAAGGAAGAAAAGGAAGAAAGAACATTATAATAAGGGAGAAAGGAAAAGAGACAGAAAACAGAGACTGAAAAGAAAAAGGAAGGAAGAAAACAGTGAACATTAAAATAAGGAGAAAGGAAAAGAAAACAGAAAAAGAGAGAAAAAGAAAAGAGAGACTGAAAAGAAAAAAGAAAGGAAGAAAGAAAGAACATTATAATAAGGAGAAAGGAAAACAGAAAAGAGAGACTGAAAAGAAAAAGGAAGGAAGAAAGTGAACATTATAATAAGGAGAAAGGAAAACAGAAAAGAGAGACTGAAAAAGGAAGAAAAATAAAAAGGGAAGAAAAAGTGAACATTATAATAATAAGGAGAAAGGAAAACAGAAAAGAGAGACTGAAAAGAAAAAGGAAGGAAGAAAGTGAACATTATAATAGAAAGGAGAAAGGAAAAAGAAAAGAGAGAAAGAAAAATAAAAAAGGAAAACAGAAAGGAAAAGAAAAGTGAACATTATAATAAGGGAGAAAGGAAAAGGAAAAAGAAAAGAGAGACTGAAAAGGAAAAGGAAAAAGAAAAAGAACATTATAATAAGGAAAAAAGGAAAACAGAAAAAGAGAGACTGAAAAGAAAAAATAAAAAGAAAGGAAGAAAGTGAACATTATAATAAGGAGAAAAAACAAAGAAAACAGAAAAGAGAGACTGAAAAGAAAAAGGAAGAAAGAAAGTGAACATTATAATAAGGGAGAAAGGAAAACAGAAAAGAGAGACTGAAAAGAAAAAGAAAGGAAGAAAGTGAACATTATAATAAGGGAGAAAGGAAAACAGAAAAGAGAGACTGAAAAGAAAAAGGAAGGAAGATAGTGAAAAAAAAAGGTGGGATAGTGATAATGGTCATGGCAATATTAGTCATTTCCTTATAAGGAAATAGTTGGCATTCGTTGGCTGAGCAGTCAGTGCTACTAATAGTTAAAATTTATAAAATCTTTCTCTTAAAGCAATTCTTCAGAAAAATAAGTTTCAATCCACTAACTTGTTTTTTTCCGCATTGATGGGGGTTTGAAATAGTGTAGAATATAAATAATTTTATTATGTCATTTTCTCTTCAAGTTAGATGTGCTATCCATTTTAGTTGATGCTGCTGTTGAAAGTCCTCAAGTGATATTATTTCTATTATTTGGTACAGTACTTTATTTGAGATTCTGTAGCGGCAATCTATGAGGTTCAAAGATGGATGGTTCTCTCAGAGACCTACATGCTTCACTCACTTGAAGCCAATTTTTAACCATTGATCTGTGAAACTGGTTGTATACAGCTAACAGTTTATAGATTTCTACATTTGACACCATGTATGGCTTCCATATGGAAATCTCAATCTGACTAGACTATAAAAGCTAGATTGAAAGGATAGAGAAAAAAATGAGATAGCAGTAAAGAAGAAGAAATAAGAAGTAAAAACTGAAAAGAAAGAGGAAAAAAGAGAAAGGAGAAAAAGAAGAGGGAAAAATAAAAGACTGGAAGGAAAAAGGAAGAAAGAAGGGAAAGAGAAAAGAAGAAGGAGAAATAAAAGCAAAGAAAGAAAAGGAAAAACAGAAAGAATTATAAAAAAAATATAGAAAAAGATAAGGAAGAAGAAAAAGACAAACTGAAAATAAAGATGAAAAAGAGGATGAAATAGAGAGGAAGGAAGCAAGAAAAATAGAAAAGATAGGCTGAAATGAAAGAGAAAAGTAAGGAAAGAAAGCAGGTTCAAAGAGAGAGAAAGAAAGAAATGAAAGATGATAGGAGATAATAAAAGAAAGAGAAAGTATGAGTTGAAAGGAAGAAGAAAAAAAGAAATTTGAGAAGCAAGAAAGAAAGAAAAGACAGAAAAAAGAAAGAAATTATAATAAAAAAGATGAACAGAACAAGGCTAGAGAGAGATCAGGTGATCACGAAAGAAAAGAATAGCAAAGAAAAGAGAAAATGGAGAGAGAAAGAGTATAAGAATAGGAAAAAGCGAATAGGAAAAGAAAGAGAGAAGGAAAAGAATAGTAAATAAGAAGGGAAGAGATGAGGGAGAATAAGGAGAAAAAAATGAAGATAGCATAAGAAAAAAGAAAGAAATAAAATGGTGAAAAGAAATAATAAAAAAGGAGAGAAAAGAACTGATTTAAAGAAAAGAGGAAATGTGGAAAGAAAAGAAGCCAATTAGTGAAAAGGAAAAAGGAAAATAAATAAGAAGAAAAGAGGAAGGGTGAGTAAAAAAGTATGAGAAAATAAGAAAGAATAAGAAAAAAGAAGATAAAGAAAAGAGATGAAAATAAAAAAGTAGAAAAAAGAAGAGATTATAAGAAAGAAAAGAAGAGAATAAATGTAAAAGAGAAAGGAGAGAAGAGAATAAGTGAAAAGAAGACAGGAAAGATCAGATAATAAGAAGAAAAGAGTAAAGGAAAGAGAAAGTAGAGAGAGAATAAGATGAAAAGAGAAAGGAAAAGAGTAGAAGTGATAAGAGAGAACAAGGAGAAAAGAAGAAAAATAAAAGAGTTAATAATAAAAAAAGAGAGAAAGGAAGAGATTATAAGAAAGTGAGAAAGAGAATAAAAAGTAAAGGATAAAGGAAAGAGGAGAATGAATGAAAAGAAGGAAGGAAAGAAAAGATAAGAAGGAAAGAGGAAAGGAGAGAGAAAGTAAAGAGAAGACAATAAGAGGAAAGGAGAAAAGAAGAGAGAATAACTAAATGATAGTAGTACAGCAGTGATGATGCCATTCATGATAAAGCAAGTCATTTGTAATTAACTCAGAACAGAGAAAAGCCCCGCAAACCAGGTGTGTAATTATTCTTCCCATCTCCAATGGTGTCTCTCTGTTTTAATTTTGATTTTTTGCATTTTTGTAATTTTTTTTTTTTAATATTTTGTTTTCTTTTGAAAATAATTTTATTTATTATTTTCTTTTTTTGCTATTTCATCTTTTGGCCAAGAATTTAAATATTTGTGTGTCTGTATGTGAGTCAGCTTTGTTTATGTGCCTGGCAAAGAAAAAGCATGAGAGATAAAAAAACAAAGGAAAGACATATACACAGAAGAAGAGAGAAGGAGATTATAGCAGAATGCTGAGGCAAAATAAGAAAACATCCAAAAAAAAAAAAAGAGATTGGTGGAAGGAGATTAAAAAAATAGGAGTCAGATAAAAAGTTTGTTAAAGAAAGAAAAAGATATAAATAACCTTGTTATTGTTAAAAAATAATTTTCCTTTTGTCAAAGTTTTTGAGTGACAATGCTTAATCTTCCACAAGCAGCACAAACAAATAAGTTGACATGCTTCTGTTTCTTAGGAAATAAATAAGCACATTATACACACACACATACACACACACACACATATAAATATATATATTTATAAGTCTACCATTCGTCCTTGCTTTGAATATTGCTGCCACATCTGATCTGGTGCTTCTGCTATATATTTAAAGATTCTTAATAAAATCCAAAGAATAATCTACAATTTTATTGGTCCTGACCTGGCATCTCAGCTTCACTCACTTTCCCATCACCATAATGTAGCTTCCCTGTGCCTTTTCTATAAATATTTTATTGTAACTGTTCTGATAAACTTTCCTCTATGGTATCCTGATTTTATGAATTTAAGTGCTGTACTAGATTGGTGGCAAGGTTTCATCATTTTACAGTTGAAATGACTAGATGTAACCTAAGTTCTATGCTAACAGTTTCTTTTCTCACACTTCATGTTTGTGGAACTCTCTTCCAGATTCTTGCTTCCCAGTCAACTTTAATCTTCAAAAATTTAAATACAATGTCAATCATTATCTTCTGTCTTCTTAATTTCTGTTCTTTTATTGTTCTCACTCCTTAATAGTGTTTTTTCTCATATTCTCTAAAACTCAGTAATTTTTTGCATCTTAGTGGCTTTATTGCCTTACTTTGGTATGAAATGATTAAAATATTTATGAATGCATACATCGAGAGAATGAGAGATAGAGAGAGAGAAATTAGCTTCTTTATATAACTTATGATACCAAAGATAGGATTTGCAAAACAAACATGAAATTGTTTGGAAGCTATCTATTGCTGTGCTAGCATGAAGGCATAAGTCATCGTGACTGAGGGTTCAGATATAATGTCATTATCACCAGTTCTATCTGAATTTCTAAGATGAGGAATTATCACTATTT